AGTGGCAGCACTATAGCCTTAAGTTCATAAATATCTTTCGGATCATAAACGGAGTACATAGTAAGTCTCATTTTTTGCAACTGTAACGACATTTATGTTCGTTTTGTTGCGTTGATACGGAATATGGAACCTTTGATCAAGATCTTCTGTAATTAAACTCGTCTGCGAACCAGAATCAATCAAAGCCCTTACCGTATATTGTTTTTGCATCTTGCTTCCTAAATTTACCATTGCTTTTCCAAGTAACACTATTTGGCTTTCTTTGATGGTGGTACTTAATGCTACTTCTGCTGTTGAATGCTTTTGTTTTGCTTTTACGAGGGCTGATATATATATTTCTGGCCTAATAATGAAAATGCGAATATTTATCATCAAAAATGGTTTTATTGTTTTTCTAAATATTCTCCAGCCTGATTTAAACATTTTTGCATACGCTCAAACCAATTGTCGAAGCACTTTTTCCACTCCAATTGAGACACCTCCAAAACATGGTTTTTGAATGCTTCAACAGCATCTTCTGGCGACGAAAATCGTTGACCATGCATTTTTTTCTTGATGTGCGGGAATGAAAAGAAGTCATTGGGCGCCACGTCAGGGCTGTACGGCGGATGACCCATCAATTTGACGGATGACCCATTATTTTGATGCCCATACGCATAGATCCATGATTCGTCACTTGTGACGATCTCATAAACGTCTTTTGAAGCACTGCGAACGTATTTTTTCAATATTTCTTTGCACCAATCGTCACGAGCCTTTTTTGAGCGATTGTCAAATTGTGCGGGATTCAACGAGAACAATCCTTTTTTACAGTCAGGTGTTCATGCAATATCGAATGTATGCTGGTGGGAAAAATACCCAAGGATGCCTGTATCTCACGGTATGTCACATGACGATTTTGCATTATCAGTTCACGCACGGCATCAATGTTCTCTGGCTCAACGTCCGTTTCTGGACGAACTTCACAGAATTCGTCGTTGAGCGAGCGTCGGCCACGATTGAATTCATTAAACCAGTTTTTCACAGTGCTATAGGGTGGTGCTTCATCACCATACAAAGATTTAAGTTCATCAATGCACTCTTGTCGTGATAATCGACATCGAAAATTGTGAAAAATAGTCGCGCGAAAATGTTCACGTGTTAATTCCATTTTTTGGCCGAGACGAATTTTTTAAGTCTCTGTAAATAAAACAATTCACAATTAAATGACAACACATTCTGAGTGATGTTTTGCTCAAAAATGTCAACCTTTCCAGTGGAAATGTCAGATTGCACCTGGCAACACTTAGTGTTGCCTAGGCCAGAAATATATATATTTTTTTTTTTTTTGGTGTGTCCATATTTTTGACAGTTGGTACATTGTGGTATTGTTCTTTTTGGATGGGGAGGTTCAAAATTTATTTTGCAGTGCAGTAGGTCCTTGATATTGTAAATTTCCTTGTTATTTACATCATGTTTCATTTCGATTGATTAACGGAGATTTTGTGCGCGGATGTAATACGTTTCGTATATTGCATACTTCATGTCCTAGTTCAGCTAGCTCTAATATAATTTCATTTTTGTTAGCGGAGTGGTGCATACCGCGTAGGAAGATCTTAAACCCTTATAGAAGATCTTTTTTGGCTTATACGTGTAGTACTCTACGCTCTTTTCCTTAAGAAATTTTACTATGCTAGTGTAATCTGTTGATTCGTATGGCTGGATTTTTATTTCATTGTTTTGTAATACACGAATTTCATATTTAGATATTTGTAGTGCATCTAACGTTTTAATTAGGTTGTCTAGTAGCTGTACTTTTTGCACGTAAATGGGTGGTGGTTTTTTATTTTTAGCCGTTTGATTTTGTGTTGTTTTGCTATCTTTAGTGGGTTCTTTATCATTATCAGTTGCTAGAACAGCAAACCTATTTGTAGCTAAGAAATACTCGTTTAATGTGTACTGTTTTTTGTTTTGTTTGTGCTTTTTGGCGTTTATTTCATTGATTTGCTTACCAGGGGAGCTAGGAATTTTCTTATTCACTACTGGCGTGTTGAAGCCATTGTTTTTATTTGTGTTTGCATCTTCCGTTGTGTTTGCAGTTCTGGTGTTAATATCAGAGTTTTCCAAATTCTGAATGAGTTTTGATGGTGAATTGTGTTGATGATGGTTTGATTGTTGGAGTTTTATGTGGTACTCCTGCTGCATTTGTTTTTTCTCTATTTGCTGGTTCTGTTGTGGTTGTTTTTGTTGGGTTTG